TTGTGGCGCATTCAAGCTGGGGATCCCATCCACCGAAAGGGGGATTGTGAACTGTCCGACGCACACCACGAGGACTTGAAGTTGTTCCCCGGTGGTGTTTGTCTCCGTGCCACGTCCGGCGTTGCTGGAAGAAGCCATGAGTGTTGGGTTTTTTGAAGAAAAGAGGTTATGAGAGTCTGGAGGGAGGCTTTTTGAATCGGTTCCCACAGACAGCGCCAATTGATGGTGCGCAATCCAGCCGGTCTTAGCTGTCAACGACCTTGCCTCTGAACTGAATTGTAGGGAACCTGAAACGGAGAAGATGAGGAAGCTTCGGGGGGACCCGGTGTAAAGGCTCCGAAGCTCAAGTTAGAATCCTTCAAAGGCAAGATAAAACCAGATAGTGCGAAGTTTGCATACCTTGTTCTTGGGGGGTAGAGAGCCTTTTATAAGCACCTCGCGCACTCACTCCTAAGCTTCTGTCAGTTCGGTATGATTACTTCCGTGCTTCTGCCAGTTCGGGTGTCATCACCTCTGCTGGGGCAGAACCACCACTGCTCTTTTTGTCGGAGTCATCTCTGTAACTGGAGATGGCGGTGGCAGGTGGCCGTTGAAGTGCGGCTGTCAAGCGTCAGATCCCAAGTCAGCCAGGTGCGCCGCCCCTGGATACGGACTCCTTCGGTGTCAGGTACGATGTGGTTTGTCTAGTTCGGCGTCCTAGAGGCGAAGTGCTGGAGTGGTGTGCGAGGTGAAGTCTTGAGTTCGGATAGGGGAGTGTCCCGAACTGCCATGAGGTGGGCCAATTCGGGTCACTGCTTTGTGTGGCTCGGGGCCTAAGGGAGAGTTCGGGCTCCTCGTAGGGAGTTCGAGCTCCTCGAAGGGAGTTCAGACTCCTCAAAGGGGGTTCGGACTGCTGGTTTCTTCCCTTTGGTGCTTGCACCCTGGGTAACACTGTTTTAAGTGTCGAACTATTCGTTTTTTCCACGCGGAGTGATTGCAAGGTCGGGCCAAATCTTCCTTCATCAGTTGGGAAAATTCAAGAAATATTGGGATGAGGTTAATTTACCTTTGGCAGTAGCAGTGGTTCTTACTCCAAGATACAAGTTGGCATTTGTGAGGTATAATTTGCATAGAGTTTATGGTTATGTGGGAGAAGATAAAGTGGCAAAAGTGTGTGAATGCAAATTATGATACCTCATCCACTCCTAATGTAGAGAGTACTCCCCTTGAATCATTCATAACAAGTTCAGCTTCGGGTGTGATGCAAGAGAGTAAGAAGAAGTATCTCAAAGGCTTTCAAAAATCGTGCACAAGTGATGAAACAACAACATCGATGTTCTATTACAAAAAATTAGAATTGGACCAATACTTGGAGGAGTCATTGATTCCAAAAATGCCAAATTTTAATGTGCTAAATTTGTGGTCAATTAATCATTCTAAGTTCAAAATTCTCTCAAAAATGGCTCGTGATGTCCTAGCAATTCAAGCAACCATTGTAGCATCAAAGTCAGCATTTAGTATAGGTGGTAGAGTGTTGGATCCTTATCAGTGTTCATTGCTTCCAGAAATAGTGGAGGCTTTGGTTTGTGCACAATATTGGATTGAAGCACCTAAACCAAAAACTCCATGTAAGTAACTATATTCATATATATTTTTGGTATTAAGCTTATAATTTTTTTTAAATGAGTGTATTAATCGTATTCTATGTTTCTCTTTGCATGTTTTAGTTTCTTTTGATGAAACACCTGCTTCTTCTATGTGTCCTATTGGTAAATCTATTGAAACTCCGATGACTCCATCCTCAAATCCAAGTGGAAGTGAAAGTGCAAGCACAAATGTTGATGGAAATGGTGCTCATGCAAGTGGTGCATCTAATTAGCATATGTAAGATTGAAAATAATTTTCATTCTTTTAAATATTTATGAGTTGTGATTAATGTTTCCCAAGATTTGGACTAACATGTGGTTTTATACTTTTCTTGTTGTTTTTGTTTTGTTTTGTTTTTTTTTTTTTTTGTAGGCTTAAACTTTGGTCATTTGCATGAAGGATAGTTTGGAGCCTTAAATAAGTTAATTGGTCATTTGCATGAAGGATAGCTCATTAGCCTTGAAGAAGTTAATTGGAGCCTTGAACTATCTTTTATAGTTTTTTTGTAATGGTTGTATGGATAAATTGGTTATTTTAAACTATTTGGGACTGATTTTGATATATGCTAGTTAGCGTTTTTTTCTTCTTTTTGGTTTTGTTGAGTTGACACTTAGTGTGGCTATGTGAGTCTTTAGTTTTGGTACTTTGATGAATATGGTTTAGACTATAATCTAAAGTAATCAAGTAACTTATGTTTTTCCTTCTCTTTAATTGATTATGGTTGTTGAAGTATTGAATAGTTCATGCTTTGATTAATAAGGGAAGCAATGAACAGGTAATACTTGAGTTTTGACATCTTTATGTTTATTTTTTCAAAGTATAGTTTCAAAGGAATTTTACTAATTAGGTTATAATTTTTGCAGTCTTTTGGTTTGAAGTTGAGAGAAAACAAGTGAGAATCCAATCCAAATGCAGCCTTAGGTGATGGGCAAGTGAGGGAATGGGCTAGTTTTGTCAACCTTCCTATGGGCAAACAAGTGAGAATCCAATCCAATCCAAATGCACCCTTTCTCTTGATGAACTTCTGACACATGATGCTATGAAAACCAAATTAGTAATTATATTTACTTATCAACCTTCCTATGGGCTAGTTTTGCACAAGCACAAACACAATATGTCTATATTGTTCTGCCAGTTCCGGAAAGCTCCCGAAGGCTCACCCAAGAAATTCAAAGCTCAAAAGCAGTTCCTGGATATGATGTCCCACAGGATGCACATAGACCACAGTATGATGCTCATTGGGAAGCTTTTGTTTGGATATGAGAAAGGTCCTAAAGTGCTGAAGACTGTTCGGCCTGCAGGGTAGCCTCTGGTAGATGACTGGGATTGCCTCAAGAGTTAAGACTATGGTAAGAAGACGATGCCTAGGGATGTATACTAGTGGAGCTGATTATGTTGATTTCAGTTTAAAGGCTTGTAATTAAAATGATGACTCAAGGTACAGTTTCTTCTCTAAAATGATGTATGTACTCTCCACCGTGCAGGTGAGAAGATGATTACATGGTACCAACAGTATAGGAGGAGAGCATTGTTAGCTGCTGCCTCATAATGATATATTGGTGGCAGCCTTCAATATACATGTACATATTTTAGTATTGGAAACTCTTTTCCCTAAAATTCTATTCTCATGTTAACCATTTGACTATGTTACCCTTTCTGTCCTGTAGACACGCAAGAGAGATGTCATCCTAAAATTTGCAGGATCTGATGCTAGTAATTTGTTTGGCACATTTGTGAAAGTTAGACAGACACAAAACAGTTTCCCATTTGGCTCATGTATCAACAGAACAAATATAGACAATGAAGATTTTGTTGATTTCTTTGTTAAGAATTTCAACTGGGTTGTCTTTGGAAATGAGTTGAAATGGCCATGGACAGAAACACAACAAGGCAACTTTAACTATAAAGACGCTGACGAGATGTTGGACTTGTGTAAGAGCCACAACATAGAGATCAGTGATCATTGTATCTTCTGGGAAGTGAAATATACCATCCAGTCATGGGTCCGCTCATTGAACAAAAATGACCTGATGATAGTAGTTCAGAATCGTCTTAATGGTCTTCTCACACGGAATAAGGGCAAGTTTAGGCACTATGATGTAAACAACGAAATGCTGCATGGTTCTTTCTACCAAGATAGACTGGGAAAAGATACCAGATCATACATGTTCAAGATAGCCCATCAACTGGACACATATGTCATATTATTTGTGAATGATTATCATGTTGAGGATGGAGATGACACTAGGTCGTCTCCAGAGAAGTACATTGAACATATCCTTGACCTGCAAGAACAAGGTGCACCTGCTGGAGGTATAGGAATACAAGGACATATAGATAGTCCAGTTGGGGATGTCTCCTCAATAAACGAGCATGTTCTAGCTGCAGGTCATGCTCCGGGAAGCCTTTGCTCACCCTTCAGTGGAAGGCATCATGCTGGGAGCTCTTAAGAATGAGTGGTTGATGCAGAAGGTAGTATTAATGAAGTTGGAAAGAGATATCTTTCTCTTAAGAATGAGTGGTTGACTCATGCTGATCACGGTCACATTGATGATAAAGGAGAGTTCAAATTTAGAGGCTTCCATGGGGCATACGAAATTGAAGTTGTAACGCTTACCAAGAAAATATCAAAGACGTTTGTGGTGGACAAGGCTGAGTCACCTCTGGTGATCACCATAAACTTATAGTTCCTTGGGCCCGAATAAGTGGTCCATTTTTATTGTATTCTCTGTTAATGGTTTTCTCATTGGAATTGGAATTGTCTGTATATCTCTCCTCCTATTCCTCAGTGGTTATAGACTTATGGTTATTCCATCCTATTCCTTACTTAGAGGCATTATATATAAATGTACATAAATCTGTGTATAAATGGAATTACATATGTTTATATGTAATGAAATGTCATGGTTTTTGCTTTAAACCACAGTTCAAAATGTATACACTGTGTCTATTGATATCTGCTTCTAATTGAATTCGAATTGAATTCGATTCAAATATATTCGAATTCATATTCGAAAAGTCAATCGATCAAATTCGAATCAAATCAAATATTCGATTTAATAATCGAAATTGAATTCGAATCGATATATTTCATATCCATCGGATATCGAATCAAATTCGGATATTGGTATTTATAATCGGTTTCAAATTCGAATCTAGATTGATTCGATTCAAATTCAATCTATTTACAGGCTTAACTGTGGGCCTCTATTTTATGGTTGAACAGCCTTATCCATGAGTTCGAATCTATTGACCACAATACATTATTGGCAATGTTCACACAGTTGCATATCAGGAACATCTCTTGAACTTCATATTGCCTATTCGGATCTACTACCACAATATATTGCGAACCACGATCACCCAACCATACATTGGTAATCTCTTGTATATTATATTGCTGATATTCTCAATGTACGGTTGGATGGATGTGGTTAGCAGATCTGGGCTCCCAATATGCAACCGTGTAAATGTGCAAGCAATGTATTGTGGTTAGTAGATCCGGACACAGAGAGAATTAGGATTTGTTCTTCATAGAGTGTGCCTCACACCGACCTCATCGCCACATCCCACCCTGTATCGGGAGCTCTCCCTATGAATAATAAATACAAGTACAGGAGATGTTCCCAATGTGCGGCCAAGACATGCTGTGAGGTCGGTGTGAGGCATGCTCTGTAAGGAGCAAATCCGACTTCACTGGAGATTGGATTTGCTCCTCGCAAAGAACACCTCACACCTAGGGGTGTCAACAGTTCAGTTAACCAAATCAAAGGCACTTTTTTTTCAAACTGAACCGGTTTTTCTATTTCTCTGTACTGAAATCGAACAGATACCATCGATTAACGAGTTTATCGAGTTTGGTTTTTGACTGATTTGATTCTTTGGTTTTTAATATTTATAATATATATTATATAAATGTATACGTAGAATAGTATATTATAAATAATAAATGATATATACTATATTATAAGTATTATAAAAATATATAATATATACAATATATTTATAAATAGATAATTATAAATATAATATATGTATATATTTATATATAATATATAGATAATATGTGACATATATTAAAATATATATAAGATACATATAAATATATATATTGGTTGGTTCGGTTAATCACTAGTTTTTTTTAGGTTAATCAAAAACCAAATCGGTCCAAGTTTTCAAAAATACCAAACCAAAAGTTAACTAGATTTTCCAGTTCGGTTCGGTTTCAGTTTTTTATGGACACCCTTACTCACACCAACCTCATAGTGCATCGCAACCATTCATTGAGAATATCTCCCAGACTTGATGTTATCATTAATGCACAGTTGTAGTGCACTGTAATGTTGGTGTAAGGCACACTTTGTGAGGAATAAATCCGAATTCATTTTCTTCCTCCTTTTTTTATCTCTTTTTATGATTTTTTTAAACAAAATTCTTTTTATAATTTGGTAACAAGTAAAAAATAATAATTTATTAATATTTTAAAATAAAGTATGAGATAAAATGAAACTATGTGCTATTTATCTATTTAAAAAATAAAGTTGTAATAAAAATTTTAAAAGAAGAACTAATACCAATTCTATCATTTAGTTGCCCTATTTAATTGGGGATGGCAATTTCTACCCTATCTGGTGGGTACCCGCCCCTACCCTCCCCGACAGGGTGGGTTTTTTTTTATTTGAAGAATGGGTTTTGGGGCGAGGATGGGTTTTGGGATTCTACACCCCATACAAGTATAGATAAGATACAATATTAGGTTAAATCCGACCCGCATATTGATGGAAATCATATAAACTTTATGTACTAGGTCTTGAATTTAATAATATTTTAAATTTTGCATGAAGGGATAATTGATAGTTTATGTGTTTTTTACATGCCTTAATCAAATAATTGGAAATTTTGTTGTTTATCTGTGTTATTTTTCTTATTTATTACTTATATATGACAAGAAATAAAAGGAAATTAGATGCAAGTTCTAAACCCAACCCGCCCCTACCCTTGAATGTGGGTAGGGTAGGGTCGAGGAGGCTTTTGCATTTTTATGTATAGGTAGGGGTTGGATTCTCAAATCCAACCCACTATGGGTTTTGGGGTGGGTACGGGTTGAGAGGCCTAGAATTTACAATAACCCTCTCCAAACTTGCCTTGTTGCCATCCCTATATTTAATGTTTATTTGTTTACAGTAAATCTAAATTGGTAGCAAATTTTGCAACTAGTTCGTTTTGTATCCATTTGTTAATATCTATGATTTAAACTCCAACCTGATGCAAAACTTGCAATTTTGTCTCATTTGTATTCATTGGCATGACAATCTTAACATCTACCAAACCGATTCAATATTTTATGGTTCCATCCATGTTCTAAACCCATACCTACTTCACAATCACTTAGCAAATCTCTACTGAAACATATTCAACATTTTATGGGGCCATATTCTAAATCCAGACCTAGGGGTGCAAGTTGAGTGGATTGAGCTGGGTTTAAGCTCAATCAAAGCCCATCCTAAGAATTGGGTCTAAGGCATGAGGCCAAAATCAAGATGGATTTGTTCAATCTAGGCCCAATCCACGATGCATTGAAAATGGATTTGGACAGATTAATCAATTCATACTATAATTTAAAATAAATGTATATATATATATATATATACATGGATGTATGCATATTCGGGTTGGGCTCATGTTAATTAATATAAGGTCAAATTGGCCTTGGTATGCATAAAATTTAGATTCAAGCCCAGACTAAAAAATAAAAAAGCTCACGCTTTTAGGCCTAGGTCCAACCAAGGTATGAAAATCTAGCCCGTGTAAAATTGTCGGCTAGATTGATACTTTTTTTTTTTTGGTAAAGAAAAGCAAATTTTATTCAAAAAAAAAATGAGAAGCAACTACAGCCAACAGTAAGTAGCCCCTCTTGCATCTTGGTCAATAAGGCAAGAGAGGGCCTCAGGAAATTCATTCGACTCTAAGAAAACCTCATTTACATCCAAAATTAACTTTGACAAAAAATCATCCACCCTATTAGTCTCTCTATATACATGAGTAAAGGTAAAAGACTCAAAATGGTTTCAAATATTCATGATCTCCATGACGTGCCATAGTGCTTTCTAAGGAGTAGACACATGCCCATTCAAGTTGTTTACAGCAATCAGAGAGTCAGACTGGATAATAATCCTTTGAAAACCCCTTCTCTCGCATTCAATGAGAGCTCATCTTATGGCTTCTTCTAACTCTTGGGTAAGAATCGGCACTGGGGGGTACTAGCTATGAGGGCACCGATGGGGAGTCACCATATGATCCCTTAAATTGAATCCAAAGCCACCATGTTCCTCCAACAATGATCCATCAGTGTTAACACAAATGACCCCCAAAGCGGGAGGTTCCTACAGAAGCCATAAGCCCTCAGGATTAGAAAAGGAGGCTTGGATCTCCCAATTTCTGATAAATTCACAAGCACTTGTCAAATCTTCAACATCCAACTTTTCTGACTCAATCCAACCCAGTACATCAGAAACAACCCATTGTTGAGTAACGTTGGGGGTGATAATCATTTCAGAAAACTCTCTAGTTCCTCTCTGACCAAATATGGTAAGTCATTGCATTCCAAGTCAAACAAAAAAATCATCAAAGAATGTTGTTCTCCCTCAAGTGAGCACGACTCCATTCAACAAGGTGATCCCAGGATAAGATATTGGGCCACATTAATCCACAACGACCTAGAACTAACCACCAAAAAGTTACAAAGAGCAAAAATATGGTCATGAGATTCAAGCTCACGTTTGCACAGGACACATTTTGCATTGCTGATAACAATCGCGTGCCTAGATAGCCGATCTTTAGTAGATAGAGCTTTTTGGAAAGCAAGCCAAGAAATGAAGGAGTGTGGCAAGGGATATTTCCATGAAACCAAACTAGGATAGAATGGGTCCAATCAGGGCTACTAACGCGAATACAATTCCAAGCCAACTTCACTATGAATTTATCGTTTGATTTAAGGTCCAAAAGACTAAGTCCTGGGGGCTTTTACGATTTTAACTTGGTGAAGCTCGTACCATAATTCTCGAAGAATGGGGATTTGGGAATCTAGAGGAATCCATTGGTAGTTACTAACAAAGGAATTTACCTTGGCCACTTGGGAGGTTCGAACAATGCCACTTTGGATTACTTCAGGGGTTTGGGAGATCAGCCCCCTCCCATGCCAAGGGTCAAGCCAAAGGAGGGTGTGACGACCATTGGCAATCAGATGAGTAACAAAAGGTAATGCAAGGTCCCGCACTTTGATAATGCTTCTAACAGCCCAGGAACATACCCTTGGCATAGGTGAAGACCAAATGGAATTCTGCCTTAAGTATCTTTTAGTGAACCAATTCAGCCACAAGGATTCACCTTTCCCACTAGCTAGCCTCCAGACTTGGCACAACAGGAGTGCTGAATTCCAGTCCTTCACTCTTTGGAGGCTCAAACCTCCCTTCGTCTTAGGGGAATACCACATGGCCCAACTAACATTGTAGATGCCCCTATTCCCATTGCCAATCCACAAGAATTTTGAGCGTAACTTCTCAATCAAATCCACTATACTCTGTGGCAAGAGAGCAATGCTACACAAGTATAATAGCAGACCATATAACACAGACTTAATAAGCTTGACCCTCTCTGCATAGGATAAAGATGAACTCTTCCAAGATTTAACTTTGCTCTCATTTACCTTGACAAGGGGACCACAATCTACATGAGATAACCAAGTGCTAGAAAGGGGGAACCCCAAATATCGGACTGGGAGAGAGTCCATTCCTATGTTCAAGACTGAACATATCTAGTTTTGCAAACTAAATCCACTATACTCTACGGCAAGAGAGCAAAGCTGCACAAGTTTACTAACAGACCATATAACACAAACTTAATAAGCTTGACCCTCCCTGCAAAGGATAAAGATGCAAGGGGAGCACAATCTACATGAGATAATCGAGTGATAGAAAGGGGGAACCCCAAATATCAGATTGGGAGAGAGTCCATTCCTATGTTCAAGACTGAGCATATCTAGTTCTGCACATCATTACTATCCCCCGCAATGAAGATGGAAGATTTGCCATAGTTAATCAAAAGCCTGGAAGAATAAGCAAATTCCTCCATTAACAATTTGAAAGTATAAGTGGTGCCAAGATCCACTTCTGCAAAGACTAATAATTCATTAGCAAAAGGTAAATGTGAGACCATGGGGTCCTTACACCTAAGGTGGAGCTTGAACTTGAAGGTTCCTTCCTCAACCGCCCTTGTGAGGTTCTCTGATAGCACTTATACAACCAAGAGGAATAAATATGGGGACATAGGGCCCCCTTGTCGGAGTCCTCGACTAGCAGGGAAAAACGAGTTCAGTTGGGCTACACATCTACATGTTACAACGGGCTGCACTTCCATCTGCCTTGTAACACATAGATGGTTTAAGTGACGTACAAAAAAATAAAGACGGGAGTGTTAACTTCCATTACTTATTTTTTATACAATTTTTCAACCTAAAAAATAAAAGAAAAGCTTTAAGTTTATTTATGGTTTTTGAACCGCTGTTGAAGTAAAACGGAACCGGCCGTCTGGACGATTTTTGGGCTAAATGGTTTAACCATCTAATTCAACAGTGGTTCAAAAACCATGAATAAACTTAAAACTTTTCTTAGAGAAAATAAGTAATGGAAATTAACACTCCCATTTTTACTTTTTTTGTACGTCACTTAAACCGTGTCTACGTGTTACAATGTGGATGGAAGTGCAGCCCGCGTTGTAACATATAGATGTGTAGCCCATCCGCATTTGGGAAAAAGCCTTGCTGGCCCCATTAACCATCACCCCAAAGTGTGGGATAGAAATACACTCCTTAATCCATTGAACAGTATGGTCAAGAAAGCCTAAGTCACTTAATACCTGGATCAGAAAGTCCCATCTGACAAAGTCATAAGCCTTTTGGAGGTCAATTTTAATTTCCATCCAAGTGATACCTTTGTAGAATCTTGTGGGCTAGGAGGATGTTGTCAAATATCAATCTCCCTTTAATGAAGGTTGATTGAGATTCCGACACAATCACTGCATCCACTACCTCCTCCCTAACCACTAGCCAAGCAAAGTGGGAAAAAATGGGCATTGGACCTGTCAGGGCTGGGGCTTTTTATCCCCATTCATATTAAAAATTACATGTTACCTCCTCTCTCGATACAGGGCGTCCTAGCACTCGTATGCAATCAGTCGAAATCCTAGCTTTTATGTGAAATTGACTGTCAAGGCCATCCAAGTCTACCGGCCTATTTAACAAATTAGAAAAGAACCGATGCAATGACCTTAATTTCCCTATCATCAGTAATAAAATTCTCTTGGTGCTCATCCCAAATTGAAGCAATTTGATTCATGTGCCTTCTAGAACAAACGGAACAATGAAGAAGCTAGTATTTGAGTTGCCTTCTTTGAGCCAAGAGATTTTGGACTTTTGTCGCAAGAGTGATTCTTCACGCGCTGCAGCTTTGCGATAAATTGATCCGACTAGGTGAGTGTCTTCCACTGCGAAGGGGGAGATAGGCTCTTCAACAAGTCTACATTGAGCATGGCCCAACACTATCTAGGCCTGAGAAGTTGACTTTGATAGGTTGTCGAAGTTGGTGGAACTCCATTGTTTCAGAGTTGCTTTGACTCGCTTGAGTTTTTGCATCACAACGAACACTTGAAAGAATTTTTTATGATCAGTTAAGAAATTACAAAAATAAAATGGTCGTTTACATGTCGCCACCTGAAAAAGGAGGAAACAATTATCAATGAGTGATCCGGTACGCCTAAACGGAGGAACCAAGCCAAAGAGTCTGTGCATTCCATCACATACTACTGGTGATGGACAATCAAGACAAGAGGACCTTCTAATGTGTGTGACAAATGGATGATGGAATGGATGGAACTATTAATACCTTCCTTTTTTTATAAAAAAAAAGGGAAACAGAAATGTACTACACACAATGGAGGGTAGTATGCCCCCAAAAGTAAGCAAAACAAATATGAAGAAGAGAAGAGGGAAGAGATGAGATGCTAAAATCTAGAAAAGAAGAAGAAGAAAGGGCCTCATGAGCCAGCCAATTAGCCGCCTAATTTGCTTATCTAAAAACATGTTGATAATGAAGACCTCCTTCGAATAGATCTCTCCTCCGCAAGCAACTTTAGATAGTACCTTTACAAGAGACGAATCTCCCTATATGATGATAGGAAACTCCCTGTAGTTTGTAGCTTGGACATGGGCTTCCCATGCAGCCCAATCTTTAGCCCGATTGATAGAACAGGAACCAAGTTTATATGCTTTGATCGCTAGTACCTTACCAGCAAGATGGTCCTAGACTATAAAAGCCACTGAACATTTTCCATCACTATTGCGAGAGGCATCGAAATTTATTTTAACAAAACCATACTTTGGAGCATTCCAATTAATTTGTTTCCAAATCTTGCGAGATGTGGTAGAGGTACTAAATTTATTCCCATCAAAAGTTTCCATAAACATATTGAGAGTTCTATCTAACATTATTGGAATGGGAGTAGTACCTTCATTAAAGGTTTTGGAGTTCCTATTTTTCTAGACCACCGATAGAACAAAAGCTAGTTTTGCCTTTATGAATAGAGTTTTGCTTTTTTTAACGCCCATTCTTGTCCACCAATCACTGAGATTTTCATTTTCATTTGGGCCCTCCAAGGGTGTGTTTAACGTAAGCCAAACTTGCTTTGTGTGATCACAAATTTTAAAGATATATTATGTATCTTCCTTAAACCAACAAAAACTACAAGAGCCATCAATATTAAATCCTCTTTTCCTCAAATAGCTTTTAGTAGGCTGTTATTATACAGAAAAATATAAATAATTTAATCTTTGGAGGGCATTTCAAATTCCAAATGCTACTCAACCAATTAAAGTTGCCAGGTGGATTTAAAATAGAGGAACATTTAAGTAAATAAGTTGTTTTTATAGAAAATGTCCCCTTGGGATTGCACCCCCAAACCCTTTTATCCTCCATGTAGTTAGGGGCAATATGAATAATCTTAATGTCTTGCCAAACATTTTCAGATACCTCATTTTTAATTTTTTTTCCTCCTTCCAACATCCCTCTCAAAATCAATCATTTCTGCTACTTTAATATTAATATGTGTGATATTTTCATGGTTCGAAGTTTCAATTAGAAGTTTGTCATATACCCAATTATCCAGTCAGAAGTTTATAAAACTTCCATCACCCATTTGCCAACGAGATCTCATTTTAACGAGATCTCTAGCAAGGAGGATGCCTCTCCAGGCCCAAGAGATTCCCTTTTTAATTTTAATGTTCAAAAAGTTTTCCCTTCTCAAATATTTGCTTTTAATAACTTTTACCCACAAGTTATTTTCCTCATTCAGTATCCTCCACCCTAACTTGGCTAAGCTAGCCTCATTGACCTAGTAAAGTCTTCTTATCTCATACCTCCTCACCTTTTGGGAGTGCAATTTTTTTCCCAATTCATCAAGTGGGGGGCTTTTTTACCATTAGTATTGTCCCAAAGAAACTCTCTTTGAATTTTATCCAATTCATCTATTGCATTTTTAGGGATTTTGAATGAATTCATTATATATCGAGACATCATGTTTGTTGTTGAATTGACGAGGGTTATTATACCCGGAATGTTTTTTTCTAATTTGCCAATTTAACCTAATTAAATATATTCTTTGTAACTCTTCCGATGATAATGGGACCCCATAAATAAGAATTAAAATTAGCCTGAGGAATTCTGAGCTTTTCAAAGATCATCTTATGGAATCTATGAGGAGTACTCTGAGACTGCAGATTTGTTAACACCTCCTTTGTTGGACTTCAGTTCTCACTTCTTACCGTTTGCCGTTTGGGTCCCCCCGGGCCCACGAAGTCCAAAAATTCAAACTTAGAAAGGAGACAAAAGGAGAAAGAGGTCCACTTTCTCTTCAACGGCTATGGGGCTAGCCATTTTTCACTGTCACCAGTCGCTAGCAAGGAAGAGGGAAAAAAACAAGTACAAAGACCTAACGTCCTGCTCCATCTTTTCTTCGTCTTCTCACTATCATCATCAGACAACAGAGTCCTTGCAATCAATCACACAGGATGAGCTCAGCTATGGATTCCACTCCTCCGTCTCGTCGTTCCGAACCCCGCCTGCATATCAAATCCGCTTCTCGACTTGCTCGCTTGGAGGATTTTGGTGCTGAACCTGAGGACATCCCCCACTTTGATGCCATCCCTTCTTCTCCTAATGGAAGCCCGTCACCTTCTCATCCCTCTCGACAGGCGCTTCCCCTTCAAGAGCTTCTCCTCTCTCCTTCCCCTCTCAGAAGATCGAAAACCCGGCTTGTCGAAAAGGCTGAAATAGCAGAAGAGCCAATCGATCACCTGGGTTCTCGCAGGCGATGCAAGAGCAAAGCTACTTCAATGTCTCTATTAAGCTGCCCGTCGCCAAGAAACAGCCGGCGGACACGACGGAGATTGGAGCACGAGATTCGAGAAGATATGGGTTTGGGAGATGAGATCGGGAAAGCAAGAAAAAGAAAGAGTACCCGATCTCGAAAGGAGAAACCTAGTCTAGCCCCTTCAGTTCCTTCTCCAAGTATCTTTAGTTTCCCATTGTTTTTTATATTAACCTTCCATTAAGAGTTTCTTTTTATTCATCTGGGCTCATTCGATTGCTGATTTTGGGCTCCAGAAACCAAGGGCGATGAAGATAATAGCAGCATAGATCGCATTGGGCAGTTCATATCCGATTTGATTATGTGGAAAGATGTTGCTAAGTCAAGCCTCTGGTTTGGGTTTGGGTCTCTCGGTTTTTTGTCTTCTTGTTTTACCAAAGGATTAAACTTTAGGTATGTAATTCCTCCCTCTCCACAACCTGTCTCTATTGTTCTTCTGTTCTTCATATTTGCAGTGCTTGAAGATAACAAATGAGTTGTCATGTTTGCAGCATTTTCTCTGCGGTTTCCCAACTGGGACTTTTGTTTTTGGGTGCATCATTTTTCTTTAACTCAGTCTCCCAAAGGTAGAATTCCATTTTCTCTTGTATCTCTCTTTGTTCTCTCTTTTCTGAGCTCTAAACTTTATTATATTGCAGGGATAAGGAACAGAAGGAGTTTATGCTAAGAGAAGATGACATTGTAAGGGCAGCTCGAGTAATGCTTCCTGCTGCAAACCTTTTGATTGCAAAGACAAGACAGCTTTTCTCCGGCCAGCCATCCATGACTCTCAAAGTAAATAACAGCTACCTTTCCTTCTTGGTTCCCATGTTTAAGGTCACTGAGAGGGGCACTCAGAAATGTACATGTCATCCTGGTTGCAGGTAGCACCATTCCTCCTTTTTGGAGCTGAATATGGCCACTTGATGACTCTATGGAGACTATGTGCAACTGGTAAGACTAAATGCCTCGGAACCACCTCCCCAATTTTCGTTTTGTCATTTGCATTTTTATGTATTTATTTTGGAATTGGCAGTGTTCTAATGGACTGTGTAATTTGAGCAGGATTTTTTGTTACCTTCACTGTTCCCAAACTCTACTCTTGCTACCATGAGTCGATAAACAAGCAAGGTATGTAAAAACTACCGAGGTGTTTAGGAGTTCTGAATGTATTATACATACATAACTGGATTGGATGTTCTGTTTCTGGTGTCTAGTAATCCTAATATGGAGATGATGTTTTTCAATTAAGCAGTTAAGTACCTGAGTAGTTGGATGAAGGAAACATGGGAAGCCTGCTCCCACAAGAAGATTGTGGCAGCATCTGCAGCTACCCTCTTTTGGAATTTATCCTCTTTAAAGACACGTATTTTCACAGGTATTGTCATGTTGCATTTGTAATTATGTATCCATTTTCTTATATGCTAACTGCTCTTTAATTGTGATAACACCTCTACTCTAGATATTCAGAACTGAACCCTGAACAATTGGAGATAATATCACCAATAAATTTCATATTCCAACAAATATTTGGCCAAAAGATCGCCAAATAATGTTGATATTTTAGTATTGATGTATTCTAAACTCCCAAGCTCTCTTTATTTGCCTATGCCCATACCCTTGAAGCTCTCTTTTTGGTTAATGAAGTCACTTTTTCTGGTTTGGTTGAAAAACTGTGGTTGTCATGTTCATGTTGGGATCCAAACTCCAAAGTGAGTTGAAAAAGACCTAATTGAACTAAACTGTGAACTTGGAGACCATTTTTCTTTGTAAAAGTATTTTAATTCATTCCATCATTTTAGACGTCTACTGCTAAGTCTGGTGGTACTCCCTTTTAATTTAATGTTTGTATATTTCAGCATTTATTTCCTTGGTACTGCTCCGTTTCCATCGACAATACTCGCAGATAGAAGTGGAAGAAGTGGAATGGGAAAATCAGCACCAGCAGCAGCAGGACATGATGGTAGTAGCTGAAGAGGAACATCAGCAGCAGCAGCATCAAGCCTTGGTTGCAGTGCAAGAGATATCTAAAAATTAGCAGTTTTAGACTTCTAGTCTGTATCCCATAATAATTGTGTACTGTTTACATTAGTAAGCTGATGAAACTAGTATCAAAATGTATAAATTCCTCCAATGCAATAATACTGAATATATTAGTTCATAAAATGAACACAATGTTCCTCTTTTCTGTGAGTCCCCTGTTGGCAACTCTGCAAGATTCTTTTGATTGAGCCTTGAGAATCAGAATATCGCATTTCTAGGATGACCAAGAGAAATAGCTTGGTGATATTTGATATAGACGTATTTGGTCTCTGTTTGAAGCCCTGATGCTGCAACATCAGCACATGATCTCAACGGTAAAAAGACCTGTTTGAGGAGCTTCCTGAAACAGCCATGTGTTTGAGAAGCAATGTGATGCATGGCGGTGAGTATGCCTGTTTGAGGTGTACAAATTAATTTGTACTTTTGAAGTACCTCACCTAGATTTGAGGGGAACATCTTTTGAAGCACCTCACAGCACACCCCAGCCCTGTATTGGGAACATCTACAAAATCAAGCCGGGAGATGTTCGCTGAAAATTTCTGTAAGGTTGGTCTGAGGCTAAGGAGAAAATCCGACCAGCTGATCTTTTTGGTATAGCCAAGAATTCACATCACTGATCTTTTTGGTATAGCCAAGAATTCACATCGGCGTCCCACAAACGCCCGACAGCATATTCCAACCGTGTATTGGTAACATCTCCCACTATTGGTAACATCCCAACCGAGTATTGTTAACATCTTCCATTAGTGGGAGATGTGCATGTGGGGTGTTTGTGGGGGGCAGATGTAATCTCTATAGCCAACCCTCTGCCTTGTATGCCTGAGAATGGGCATACAAAGGAATTTGGATTTGCTTCTCACAGAGCACAATTCACACCAACCTTACAATATGTTGCAGTATGGAGATGTTGCAGATGTGCGGTTCCAAGTGCTGTGAGATTGATGTCATGATTAAATAATAAGAAAATTTTAAAAGGATGAAAACACAGAAATATAAAAAAATACAAAAAAAAAGTTGTAGAAAACATTTGAACACCTCTCTAATATTGTATATTTGTCATATTAAATAAAAATAAGTGTGACAAACAAAAATATTTTTTTATAGAACAGAAATATAAAAAGATTGCAAAAAATTTTGAAAACATATTATTTACTATCATCACCATCATCAAAAGTTGTCACATACAAAGCATGTGTGGAACTATTGTTTGATTAAAATATCCCAATTTTTGAATTTGGTCTCTCTAATTATAAGGACAGAAATGTAATTTGAACCACTACTTTTTTCCTCATTCAAATCCCTTTCATTAAGTCTTATATTCAAGGTATTAATTCCCATTAACATTCATTTAATCATATTCTTGATTAGATTACCCATATTTATGAATTTTATCTTTAATTGAATCATATATTAAGTAACCATATTAAAAAAAATAAATGCGACAAAGAATAATTGTTTTTATTCATAATATAAATGAAATACAAATTTAAAACCAATCCAAACTATAAAAGTACAAAAAGAAAAATTGTAAAAAAACATTTGGACACATCTATAATATTGTATATTCATCATATTAAACAAAAATAAGTATGAAAAATAAAAAATAATTTTTATAGACAAAATATAAAAAATTATAGAAATTTTTTAAAATATATTATTTACTATCATCGTCGTCATTAAAAATTGTTACATGCAAATCACATGCATATTTACTAATTTTATATCAAACTAAAGTACAAATCATAGTTACAAACATATACAAAAGTGAAATGAATACAAAAGTTGCACCCCAACCAAACGCAACCCGAAGTTTTGATTGCGAACTCCAACGATTGAGATTTTCCTTTCTTTATTTTCACAACTAAAAATCGCATTGCTACACAAAAAAAAAAATCGCATAACAAACATATTTGTCTTTCACGTGGTACATTCCCCGAATATTCTTATTCATGAAATCATTCAAACAACAAAATGAAATTGTCTAAAACTTACTTGACTTTTTCAGCATTTCTCTTGAACTCACCACAACTTTTCAAAATGTCTAAAACTCACTATGTCACTAACTTAATAAATTAACAGGTGTTAATATATTACCATTTTAAGCTTCATAGAAAATATAAAATGTATATATATATATATAATTAGACATGAAAAACAGGAAAAAGTTCAAAAAAATATTTTCAAACTATAGAAACTATAGAAATTGAAAAACAAAATCAGAAAATAAAAATTGTAGAAAAAACACCAAAAATTATAGAAAAACACACAAATTGCAAATAAATAACAAAAAATATAGGAAAATTTATATATTGTAGAAAATAGAAAAATGTAAAGAAAAAACAGAAATTATAAAAACATTGGAAATTATAACAAAACACTAAAAATGCAAAAACAAACATGAAAATTGAAAACTGAAAAGACCATTTTTCCTCTAACCAAGGTTCAAAGTATCGATACATATCAGCCTGTATCAATTGATACGTATCATTTCGGGAGCTCTCGATACATCCCTACAGAGGGTGTATCAGGGTTCTGACTAGTTCAGGGGGTGGAGGAGCCTTAAACCTGCCCCCTAATCTGGTTTTGAAAAAAAAAAAAGTATCGATATCGCCCGATACATTGTGCCTCTAACTTGCCATCCAAGGGTAATTGGTATGAAATTTGTTATTTATGCTGATGTGGGCACCTATGTTAGGAAGCATTAACGGTGCACTAACAGAAGGTAAGTTGTGGAAAATAAAAACTTATTGACATTGTGAGTTTTAAACATTTTGAAAAGTTATGGTGAATTTAAGAGATGCTGAAAATTCATAGTGAATTTTAGACATTTTGAAAACTAAGGCTAAATTGCAAATACCTTACCCAAGGTTTCCAATAATTACAAATATGCACACGTTGTTAAAACTTTTGTGTTAATTAAGGTTAATTATTTATGTATATCCTTATATTTGACAAACTATTTATATTTATACCAAAGCAACTTAAACATGTCTTATTAATTAACCCACATAACACAATAGAATTATAGTAGATAAATATCAATAAAAGTAATATTTTTAATAAAATTTAAAAAATAGATTAACTTTTTTAAAATAATACCAAATAAATTACTTTCATCTTCTTCCTCTTGTAGATTAGTGTTGCCGCTTCCGGCTATGCCTCCGCCTCTGCTTAGGCGGCAAACCCTAACACCAAAACATTCACAATGGTGCCCTCGCTTGGAATATTCCATTTGTTCGAAGAATGTTTTCCATTTTCTGACAACTGTTCTTCACCGGCAACTATTCTTCACCGAGTGTTCAATATTGAAGCCCATTTACTCCATTCGTTCTCTGAAAAGAGAACGAGCGATGGCGCTACTGAGAATAACTTAGATGCTCTTTCTTCATTTAACATGAATTTCAAGAGTTCCAATGATCTGGGGTTGTACAAAAATTTAGCGAGCAAGAGGCAATTACAACGGTTGGGCTCACTGGGATTAAACAATTCTTTTGTTGATGCATGGGATGACTGGCGTTTTTCAGGCAAAGCAATTTTAGATTTTGTTAATTAGCGTTCCAGGAAATAGAGAAAAACTCGACATCTCGTGATCATCAACGAGATATTTGAGTTGAGGCAATGAGATAACTCATTTACCTCAGCCATTAAATTATGGAGGGAGATAACATAAATGATGCCTATAGAGAATGCCGCCACAATCATGCGGCCAGCCTCGGCAGCTATGCCACGGACGGCTGCGGAGAGCTCACGACCGATGAAACCACCCCAGGACTAATGTGTGAGGCGTGTGGGTGCCACCACAACTTCCACCAGAAAGTCATTGTCCTGGAAAAGGAAGGTGGAAGGGGCGGAAGCAACACCAACCAAAACCACATCGACAACAACAGGGTTTGGGATGCGGTGGTGGTGGAGATAATGGACTTATGGACTACGCGTATACCCAACCAGCAACGGTGGTGGAATTGCAAATGTATCGGAGCGAGAAGAGGATCAGGACTATGTTCGTAGTTGTCTGTGTTCTTGTTATTAGTTCTATGGTTGCTAAAGCTTGGAGGTTTCAGAACCACTATTATTTTTAAATCAACCTATAAAACCGTTTGTGTCAAACTATTACCAAGATTCTAATTTTTGTGGCAAATACTCAACTATTTCACATAAAAACTTGCAAGGACCTTTGCCGATGAAGAACACTCGCTCCTAAACTCAAAAAATCGTAGAAGTGTTGTTAAGGCGGAGGCGGAGGCATTGCCAGAGATTGTTAGAGGCGGCCGCACTATTGAATAATATACAAGAAGAAGAAACTGAACAATAATTTTACCCTTATTTAATATTATTTTTAAAAAATTAACCTATTTTTAAAATTCTATTAAAAACATTACTTTTATTGATATTAGGGCTCAAAAGTTGCCCTTATCTATTATAACCCCACACCGTTAGTGTGCCATTAATAGCTGTGAACACCTTCTGAACTCCAAACTCTATCGTAATATATGTTGCATCTGAACTCCAAACTCCAACACAGCAAGAATTAACGATGAATCCAACACAACAACGGTTAAAACTTCCAAAGATGAAAAACTCAAGGTTTGTAAGAATTCAATCTGGCTTTTCCGAGCTCCCTGAGCTTCGTTTCTCTCTCTCTCTCAGCATTTTGTTTTTTTTTTCTCCTTATTTTTTATATATTTTTCTTCTATTTCTCCCTCTCTAAATATTTCTAACCCTCTTGATGGCTCTAAGAAAATGATATTTTAAAATTTTAATGAACAGTTAATGATTTTATAATTTATAAATGCCTTGCAATTGATGGCTTGGTGCCCTCAAACCTTTTTCTATGAAGTGTTTTAATAATCTAATTATGCTTTAAGGGTCATTTGGTTCGAAATTGAAATCAGAATTGAAATTCCCTGAAATCAGAATCGAATTATCTATACCCAACGCCTGTGATTCAGAATGGAAAAAATCGTATTTTTCTGATACTGAGTACGAATGAGCGACCTGAATTCACTGAGAATGATGGACTAGCATTCTTCTGGGTTTTCTTAGTTGGCACTTGGCACCACGTCTACTGCCTGACTGGGTGAAAGCACACCTCTATGCAGTAATTGTTAGTTAAAATTTACCAGTTCTAAAGACAATGTATTCCCCTTTGTAAATGGAGGCACACAAATAAGTACCCTTAAATTTTTCTGTAATTTTTTTTCCTGATCACTGCCTTAAATTTTCTGTTTAATAGCCTCCACTGGAATCTATATAATGATGCATCACTATCAACAATTTCTGGCATTGAACATTAATGCTCAGGGGCGCTTACACAGAACAGACCGGTTTACCTTATTTAGCTGACAAAAATGACTTCATTTCTGGGGCAGTAATGTAGAAGAAGACGGCTGAGGAAAATGGTAACTATGCAAGTAGCCCCATAACTATTGAGCTGGAAAATGACACAGGATAAGTTAAATCCAATTTCTTACTACTAACAAATTAAGCAAGAATTGTCTGAGTAGGTAAAATTAGGGGAGGAAACAATAAAATGGTGAAATGGTCAAATACCAGAATACTAGTAGACCATCTGCTTCTTCATTAATAGAATATCTTGGTCAACAGACAGCAAACTGGATGGACGTTCCCAACACCATTGGTGACTGTTGCTTTTGAGTGGAACATCCAGAGAAGGCACTTATTGGGCTATCCCAAGGTTTATATAATTGCATCTAAACACCACTAGGACCCCATAACTGCCTCCAATCAGGATTATGCAATTGCTCGTTTAACTCTTGTTGGTGGGGCCCCCCTACTTCCATTAGTCCCCAAATAAAGTTGAGATAAGCAGATCCTGAACAAAACCAGCTCTCCCAGTAGCCTGTCTGATTTTCTGTTCTCTCTCTTCATGACTCAGTGAGGAATCAAAACTGCAAGCGAAAAGAAGATATAAAAATGTCAGAACTCAGTCTCCAGGATTCATTTGTTGTCACTAAACATTAATCACATCAAAATTTCCAATTCATGGTCAAGGATAATAGTAGCATCACAGATGCTAACATATGTGCACAGAACAAGTGAACAAAGGGAAAGAAGAGAGTTATGCCACTTGTGCACACAAGAGCCTTCATTGCAATATAAACTGCAACTAGACAAGGCTACATTTTGCCCCCACTTTTCCTTCCATTTTCCCCCCCACCAAAGTAAAAATTAAAATCATACACTGCTACCAATGGAACTCTTAGACAACTTGATTTGTCCGTTTATTCACTGAAGATATATTCCTGATTGTCACAGTTATTTTAGGCTGATGATTTGGACCTATTTTCTAGATCAAAATAAAATGAAGCCCTGATCAATAGTGAACAAAACAAGCTTGTTAAGTGCCAAATGAAAAACTCACACTGACCCTCACAACCAAAAAAAAGTGTGTTTGGTTTTTTCAATGGAGATCTATTTATCAAAAATGTGATGTATAGCACCTCGCTTTGAGCATTTCCAAGTTGCTCATAATTCTTGAATTTCTTTTGTGAAAAGATAATTCTTAGGTGATGTTAGATCCATAGATTCAAACCTGTCTTCACTCCCTCCTACTCTCTGGACGACCACCACCCCAACAATCCACTGGCCTAAAAAACATGCAATATGCACACGGGAGGTGCTCACATGAACAAAACCACACAACCTCCAATAAGCTCAACTGTCCCTCCCCCCCCCCCCACCAATAACCACATTATTTATTTATTTATTTATTTTGATCAATACCCAACCATTTTATTAATAGCACTTTCACAGTGATAAACACAAGTACCATATAGAGAGACCAAATAAAGGGAAATTTTGAAAAGTACAATAAAAAAACTGTGCAAAAAGAAAAGAAAGTTGTAGATCAGTACACAAGCATGGCCCTGCTTTTCCTGCCTGAGTGAAAGTCCACAAAATCTATATGTTATACAACAAGAACAATAAGTGCCTTTAAGTGGTTTACCAGTAAACTTAGAAAAATCTATACTGCAAACATATTTGGAATCAAGAGAAGAAATGATTAATGTTAATACATAAACCAGAAATTCCCACTCCCCATGAGCAAGATCCTATTGCAAAGACAAAAAAATCGCGTTGCCTAAAGGATAGGTTTTCTAGTAATCTAGTACAAATTTCAATGACTTTAATGGAACTAGATTATAGAGATCACTCTAAGATGAGGGATCTAAAGGAAACAACAATGTTTGACTATATAAATTTAAAATTTGTGCATGCAAAGATCTTTGTTATGAGCAAAATAAAAGGGCTAGCACTTTTTCCACAGTTTTGATCAATAAAGATCCTCATTTATCTGCATCAGAATTGTATCATATAGAGAATGATGGTTGCCTCTTTCGATGGGTTAAAAAAAATCAACATCCAATCAAAAAAATCAATTCTCGTTGCCTTTCCTGATGAAGCTTATATCATGCAGCAAAATAATCCTAAACTTCAAAAACATTAAAAATACCAGCATAAAAGGAGAATAAAGAAAAGAGAAAAACCTATGGAAAACATAGATTACTAAATTTCAAAACAATGAAAAATAAAAAAATAAAAAATGAATCCAGTACCTTGATTTCCAAATCTGAGTTGATACTGTACTCTTTACAGAAGTATCCTCAGCACTGGAAACTGCAGACTTTGATATTTCATCTGCTTCAGATACTGGGAAGTTCAACACAAATGATGAAAGGAATGAATCTGTAATTGCATTAGATGTATTAGCATTATTTGACCGGTATCCACCACCTCCTAGTAGAACCTGCATATGAGCCTCACGAAGATCCCGCCCCAGCAAGGATAATGCCTGACTATTGGGAATAGCAAATCTGCGTAATCTGCGATGCCTCTGCAAGTGAACTTTAGTTAAGGTGAGCAACTCTGAGGCTTTTCATTAAATGGATGTAACCCAATAACTGCATCTGGATAATCATACCCTTCCAAAATCATCTAAAAATTAACTTAAAATATGCAATTTCATTGGCAAAGAAAATTAAAGACAATTCTATGAAAAGGATATCTTAAATAGGTGTCCATGGTGCAGCATAATATGATTTAGCAAGTCCCTCGCAACCTTAACAGAGCAAATGGGACAAACCTGCAAGCAGAAGGGCAGAAAGAAAAGAGTGGAAAAGGGTAAGAAAGTTGTGCAGGCAAGTGAAAATATAACAATCTTGACAACAAAATCATCTGTCAAATATTATTTTCATCAATCTCACACATTGGAAAGTGAAAACTGAAGAAACATTTAGATGAACAATACTTGTTGTGGAAAGGACCACTAAATGGATAAGTTTTCTTGTTTTTTAACCTTGTATAAGAAAAATGATATAAGAAAGTGAAAATGGCTTTTGAGTGAAGAAAGTGAGCAAGTTGGAATTCTTGGTTCTGGTCCTGTTAATGCATTGGAAGAGACTTTCGCCAGAATCCATTCACTAGTTAAGATCATATTACTTCATACATGCCCCCAAAAGAAAAGGCAAGAGCACAAAGTTGTGAACTGAAATAAGTGAGCAAACTGAAAATGGCTTTAAGTGGAGAAACTGAGAAAGGCACCATTGTTAGTTCCGAGTTCTATGGATATATGGACATGAATAGGAAACCAAATATTCAAGGACCAAAGTCGCAAGGTAGTTTGCTTCATATGCTATTACTTATTAAGGCACTTGATTCTTAAGTGATTATGCAATTCAGATCAGATGAACAGGTAACTTCTTTTCTTCTTTAGGCTGTACAGATATCAGAAGTAACTGTAAGTAACTTGGTATATAAACAAGTCGAAGAACAAAACAAAACCACCTAATCACTAGTATCTCTGTCAATTTAACAATACTATTGCTAGTTTTCTCCTTTCCCTTGCTTAGCTTTTCTGCAAATGAAGAACCACTTCAGATATGTTAAGGAGAAAAATACCCCCCCCCCCAAACACACACAAAAGAAAGAGGGAGAAAGACAGTTCAGCCCAGGGTCAGAATTTACAGGCACAGAGTACTGTTGGGGTAGATGCCAGCTCGGAATTGATGCCAATTCACGGGTGGGCGTTGGTGCATAGAGTGTGGGTTGTTACCATTTTGAATGTTTATAGCTCTGCAGTGGAAATCAGAAATCTGCGTTGGGCCTGACGGCCTTCCGTACTTCTCCGAAAAATAAATGGTGCCAAAGCAAGTCCATCCTTAATAAGTTTTGTGTCTGAACTGAAGCCAAAAGGAACCCCGACACTGGTGATGCAGGAGCTGAAGAGTCAAAATTGGAATTTTGCGAAATTTTATGTATTTCTGTATTTTTGGAAACTGGGGATAATTCTGCCATTTTACAATTTTTCTGTAGGGTCCAATGATAGGGTTTGACTGTCTATTTATAGTTTTTTATATTTAAAATTTTAGAGTCATTGCATAAGTAGGATTGTAGTTATTGAGTCTTTTTTGAATTGAAATAGGATATGCCAACTTAGTTTGAGTCCTACTAGGATTATTGAGTCTAACAGTTTGACTCCTAGGATTATTATGAGTTTAGAGTCTATAAATATGTATGGAAGTTTTACACAAAGAGCAATGAAGTATATTGAGTTTTCTTCAGCTTATGCTAATTATGGTTGAGTGATTCTCATACCCTGGAGCGATTCTAGGCACCCTGTGAGTTATTCCAGGTATTTTTTTCTCTCTTCTTTATATTCCTATTTACTTTCTTGTTCATTCAAGAAGCCATTACAGCCATCAACAGCCATAAATATTTTATCAAAGAAGACCATTCAACATTCTCTAAGGACTAGAATTGAGCTGGTTCTACATCAACTGGATATCGCTAACCAGGATAGACAATGGATGGATACTATTAAAGTTTAGTAGAGGACTGTGGTTAAGATCCCATTGGTTGGCCTGTGCATAGTGTAGGAAATGGCTGCACTGATGAAAAGTAGAGTTCTAACCCTACAATGAAATTAAGAGGAAAACAAAAAACAGAAAAGGGTAGATATTTTGTCTCATCAAGGGTATTTACCTCTTTGATCACCTCATGCGCATCTAAGCTATTAAATTTGCTTAGTGCCCTAAAACCCACTCACTGTCCTAAAATATCAATTACATGCAATATAAATAAGATCGAAGCAAACCAGAAACTCAAAATCTCAAACAGAAAAGCGGAGTTTCTACACAACAGATTGGAAACAAGTCATCTTATAATCTACATAAATAAATAATGTTACAGAGAACATCCTCTCCCCATGTATGGGCTGGCCTTCCCCTCCAAAACAGAGTAACCTTAGAAAGGTGAAAGGTCCTAAGGATGCTCCAGACTTTCCCTGAATCCAAATGCCTAGCCTGATGCACGGGAAGGCACATTCTCCAGTACATCTTCTTGAAAGAAATATCACTATGTACATTAACCCCAACCAAATGCGCTTTGCAATGTCACATTTAGGATAGATAAAGGTACAGGCCGACTAATCCTCTTACCTTACAAACTCTTATTGATAAGTATACAACGACAAGATGACAAACTAGAACCTTTGGTTATCTCTCTTGATACCAATAGAGAAAAAACCTTTTCCCCCATACTATTCATAACAACAACAGAATGCAAGAAGATCATAAAACAAAATAAAGTTACTTTTCTCATCCGATAAAAATATATGGAATAAAAGTGATTTTTTCTGTTTTTTTTTTCTTTTTGTTGTTTTTTGTTTGGTTAAGACTTAAGAGGTATCAATGAACCAGAGCCGAAATAAAGAAAAATATGGTTGTAGTCCCTATATGCGTTATTTTTACAAGGACCTCGTTTCAAAAGAATAGTAACTCTGTAACAAAAGACATATCAATAACCAATGCCCGAAATTCTTTCATTCCAGAACATCAATGAAAAATCAAAACAATGAATGAATGAAATTATCAAATCAAATGAATAAAATGAACCAGTACTTACAGTGACTTTCGATTCAAAAGGATGCTCGTCTTCGATATGCGAACATAGAGAAGCAATATCGTAATCCTCATAACAAAACGGGCAGGGAAAATCAGGACGAACCTCCTCTTCAACCTCAAAGTCGTCGATGCACAACCGATCTAGAATCCATTGTCATGGAAGAAAATTCGTTTTCTTATAGAAAATAACAAATCGAAAACCGAAAAAATCATACATTTAATGATCAAATCAAAATCAGGATGCCTACCTAACTGAGAGTTCTGATGGCGCTGCAACGTGTATTGGCGTTTGGCGGCAGCAAGGCGTGATGTCCAAAGATCGGAATCCATTGAAGACCAGACGTTGAAGACGATTAAACAAATATGTTTTCACTTCTAAACGATCAATAAAAAATATAATTGCAAAAACAACCCAGTACGAAAATATACAATCTTTTCACTTCTCCTCTCTTCCTCTTCTTCTTCTGATATTTTTCTGGTGTTCTTCGTTGATCTTTTTTTCTGGTTTATTTGACTTTTTCTTAACAGAAGACAGCAGAGGGAAGAGGGAGAGAGAGATAAATGAGGTTTTTATTTTAATTTGAAGGACTCTGCGATGGCTGAAGGCTGACGTGGCAGTTGGAGGGTGAAGGATGAGAGGGAAACAATGACACGAGAAGATGTTGGGATATTAGTTAGGATTAACTACCAACAGACCATTGCAGCCGCACGTTCGGAGCATCTCCCTTCTCAACCGTGCATAGGGATAGGGGTGCATCCAATCATCTGCCTATTTTTCAAACCGAACCGGTACCATAGTTTGTGGGTGAAAAACCATGAACCAAAACTAATTGATTGGTCCTATAATGTATACATACAATTTATAAATAATACAAAATATAACATATTATAAATATACATATATGTATGTTGAATTAACTGTCGGTTTTATATTAGTTAATCAAAACTGAATCAATAATTTGAATTTTTTCAAAAATATCAAACTGACCAATTTGATTTAACTAGAACTTTTGCTAGATTTTTTCGGATTTTAATGATCACTCCTAATATTTTTATTTTCTTTTTGAAGGGCTAAACATATGTGGATAATCCATCGCCCAATCGATCGTTACAACCTTAGCAATCAGCTGATTGGCACCTCTACTAATCATACATCATTACATTATTAATTCAGGAACATCTCCGCTGCTATCCACAATACGTTCCAACTATTAATGACAGCCGCACATCGGGAACATTTCCCAGTGAAAAGAAAATGTTTCAAATATACGGTACGGCTGCAGTGGATTGTTGAGACAATGTGCGGAGCGTATTATTGATATTGGAACGGGATTATGTGTTGGTGTTGGAACTGGAAGCGTTCTGTTTTAGCATATTAGGTGTCGTTATTGGTTATCCTTCTTAACAAATTAATAATCACATCTGGCGTCCTAATGTCCTATAATAATCCATTGCATCAATGCCATTGAACACGAGGGCCTACATATTACATCATCAATTCCTCGATCTACGCCCTCCAAGATTATAATATCCGTACCCGGTCCTTTTGTCCCAGTAAAATACAGTTCATATACTATTATAGTTAAGATTGTGTTGGGTATCGGAATTTTTTGGCGAGATCCACGTGGTGGCCCATCAAATCAACGGAGCGGATGGTTCGTGATACAATTCAGAAACAAACTTTTTGGCTCTTTCTAGAAAGTAGCAACATGAAGCTGGCTCTCGTCTCTCCTCCGTTAATATTATTGATAAAATAATCTAGGGTTTTCACTTGTTCTACTTTTTTTTCTTTTTTGTCTAGACGAATTACCGATGGAAGTTGGACGTCACGTGACGCGTGTCATGTGCGAGCAGCATCCAAACAAGACTTTGGTTGGATGGATTGGCATGTGGACTCCAAATCCCAACATCCCATACCGTTCGCTTCGTTCAAACAATGGTACTGGACCAATCAATATGAGCCACGTCATTCAGCTTTGATGTAATGGTAGCAGCGTATCTGTATCACCCTGGAAAGTATGATACCTGCACTGATTAAACAATTAAATTGGTTAAATTAGAAAGAAATTCAAGAGGAATATTGGGGCCTCACGTGAGATCATCACTGACAACTGATGTATTGTGGGTCCTAGACTCCCAGTTAAGTATTCCAAATTCCAATTTTGAAAGTTGGTGGAGGTGGTGCTTCCTTGGAACCATCGCAAAATTCATGAAAAAATAAAAATTGAAAATCAACCATTTCCTGTTTTAATCATCGGTACTTACAGTTTCGGGTGGTTCCAGTTCCGACGATAACAATTTTGACAATTACATTTTTGGGTGGTTAATATTTTAATTGGTTTTAGTTCCGGTAATATCAGTTCCGACGATTTCATTTTTAGGTGGTTAAATTTTCAATTGGTTCCACTTCGGGTCATAATAGTTCCAACGGTTACAAATTTATGGGTGGTTAAAGTCTCAGTTGATTCCAGTTCTGGCGGTTATGGTTTTAGATTGTTAAAGTCTTAGCTAATTCCAGTTGGATAGTTAAAGTTATGTAAATCGTTATTGTTTTTATTCCTCTATTTCAATGGTTGCAAATATGCTCATTTGTTTCTTCTATTGGTGGTTATGACTCATTTTATGTCTGTTGTAGAAGTTTCTTTATTTTCTCTTTATCCATTATGAATATTTTATTCTTTCTAAAGATTTGTATCTGTGATTTTTCGCTTTGGGCCGTTACCACTTTTTTGTTGTCATACAATGTTTTTGTGTTTTTTTATTTGGTAATATAACCAGTACTTTGTATTCATACAAATTTCTTAGTTGAATGAAATGTGATTTTGGTCTTCAAAAAAAAAAAAAATTAGATTCCAACTGATTGATTGGATGTAATTAGGATCTTATTTTCATTTCCAGTGAAACTAGATTTTCTCATTTGAAGGAATGGCCATGGCCAAAGAATAAGAATCCATTCTAACTAATTCTAATTTGAATTCTGATTTCAGTCTAAACCAAACAAGTGAGGGGAAAAGCTCATTCCAATTCCAAGTGTGAATCAAATGCACCCTAAGTAGAAGTACCCCGTTAACTGATCTTACCGGGTCAGACGGGTTAATCCGCTCAGCAATAAACTTGGGTCAAAGTGGGTGTGAGGCTGTGACCTGTGAGAAATTTCTGATGACCACCCACGAACCCAACTCCGGCCTCTCTGAGTCACCAACCAATCAAATCTATGTAACGTAGATACCAAGTCTAAAGTGTTTAGTTTTTATTTTTTTGACTTGACCTTATACAGATTGGTCTTAATTAATATAAAGAAGAAAAGGGTACAGTGGGGACACGAATTACAGTAAATGAGAGATGGGTGGAATTGCGAGTGGATGATACAACTCACATCCATCCAAGTAGTTTTGCTTTGCTCAATGTCACGAGAAAGGTGTGTGGACTGTGGAGTCAGAATCGTTGCTCCAGTTTCCGTAGGCTGGAAGCCTGGAACTGGGGGTGGGGGCACGGTGGTGCCGTGTAACCAGGGGAGGGGCTATCAGCCAATCAGCTAATCAGCTATATATGCACAATAAAGCAAGCTATCATGGTCAACCGAAACGAACAATAAGCAAGCTACTGTTGGAGCAGAGCTTGGAAGGGCGCCCCCAGAAAGCACGCAGAGGCAGTCCATCAATAAATGACAGAGAAAGCTGTCACTATTGCTAAGCTGGAGTTTTCTACTTTCTCTAACTTCACGCAGGGGACGAAATATATATCCATTCAATTCATCTGCTGCCTGCTGGTTATAAATCAATTGCCAACAGTCCTCAACCCCCTACCCAGTACCAGTACCCAGCCCACCTGATCTTCAAAGTTTTAAAAGAGAAGTTGGCCCACTGGAGCAGGTTGATATTTGAGTCAGTCTGTAACTAGGTACCTTTTTGTTGCAACCACACATTATCGCCACAGACATGTCTAAGGATCGCTGTGGATAGAATAGGCTCATAATGTGTTATGTCAACTATTTTCTTTGTCAGTTTTGGGCATGCAGGCTGCTAACATGCCACAACAACCCAACCTTAGGGAGGGAGGTTTGGGGCTAAGGCTTATAGGCCCTTCCACTTAGCCTGACCCAATATTATAATATGCATGTCAATTCTTTGTAACATTTATTCAATAAATCTTTTAATAACTTTAGTAAGCACTAAGGACTCATCTTCATTCACGGTGCCTAACTAATCCTCTAGTCTTTATCGGGTGGTAACTACATTTAAATGTTTTATACTTTTATTTATATAACCTAAAAGAGTTCAAAAGGGCCAAGAATCTACCGATATCATACTGATTAGGGTTGTTTATGGGTCGGGTTTAGTCGGTTTAGTAGTATTTTTTCAACCGATCCGATTTGGTCGGATTATTTATAGATCAAACTGAAATTGATCCTCTATTAAGTAAAATCAACTTGGTCGGTTTGAGTTGGTTTGGATCATTTTGGGTTTCAATCAACTCTAAGCTTGCAAAATGCACATGAAGTCAAAGTGCTAATATTATATATAATATTTCAGAATATATTTTATGGAAATATATATTTAAAACCAAAACGTATATACAAATATATAAAAAATATATATTTTCTAATTTCTGGAAATATATATCTGATATATTTCAGAATATATATTTTTTTAAAAATATATTTATTATTTAAAACTAAAATATCTATATTTAACAAATATTTTTTCAGAATATATATTTTTTCACATAACTCGGTTCAGTTTGTTCATCTTTGCAACCCGAAACTGGTCAGTAGTGAAGAAAAACCGGCCAAATCAGGTTGGGTCAGGCCGGGTTGGTCAGTTTGGATTTATTTGTGAACAGACCTAATATTGATATCGGTATCCAAACTTAAATTCCCCCCCCCCCTTTTTTGTTTTTTGCATGAATGGATGGATTTTGGGCATTTTGAGCCCACAAAATCATGCAACTAAAGCCTGGTTCATTTTTAGTAAAAGAGGGTGTGGGCGTGTAAATTGGTCAGCATAAAAGTTAACTAATTAGTGGATCCCACCGTCAAGAATGAATAGCGAAGGGAACCTTCTTCGCAAGGGCTGGAATGGAATTGTAACATTGTTATTTGCTATATTAAAGTAGATCGTCTTGTAAGAAAATTAAAAAAAAAAACATTGTACAAGAAAACCCAAAGAAAAAATAAAAGAGAAGAAAAAAATGGTGGTAAACTGTAAACCCTAGAGTGTTTTGGAGGATCTTGAAGAAGAAGAAGACCAAATACAAAAAACAAAAAACAAAAGCAAAAGCAAAAAATGAGAAAAAAAGGAACGTACCGCACGCTCTCGAATAAAGCCCACAATAGAAAAAAAAATCTTTGAATAGTGAAAATCCAAAAGCATAAAAAACCATGGTTTTCAAACCGTCATTGACTTGGACAAATGGACATTTCAGCCCGGGAACCGTCCAGGCAACCGGTTTCGTTTTACCCCAATCTCAATCCTTGGCCAAAAATCATTGAATCGGTCAACGACCCATTGACCCAGGTGGTCGAACCATCGACCCGTTGACCCGTTCAATAATTTTCGGCC